CGAAGATTCGTTATTATAAAAGAGAATATTGTTATATTCATGAAATCGGTTTAGTTTTTATAAATGTAGTAACATGCTATTTCATTTTAAAGCATAATTTGAAGAATATTACATTTTAAAGTAATATCTATAATTATATATATAATATATAATTTAAACAATTTTGTTAAGTTTTAAATTTATAAATACATATGGATTTAAATTCGCCAATCTTATACATTTATAAACACAAAACCGATATGCGACAAATAAGTCAAATTATACTCCAATGTCTTCATGTATTTCAAATCACTGAGATCAAAGTCAAGACTGTCGTTATCGCTGGTCATGAGATGCTAATTAAAAATGTCGCTACCATCATTTCCATTGTCCAATGTAGATAAATCTATATAAACATTTGTGATATAAAAAGCAAATATTAATTATTTGATTTTTGTTGTTTTTATCATAGTTTGATTGAGTACACCACTACAAGAATAAAGTTTTATGACAAATATTACTAATTAATCATCATTAATAAAATATAATTAAAACTTACGATCGTTTTTTTTTAATTTGCGTAGCTTGTCGACGGTGTAGCTTCATCGTGTGCTGTTCCTTGTTCTATTTGTTCTATCTTTTGTTCTTTTTTTTGTCTTCTTTTCAATTCCTTTTGATGTACAGATGATACGTGGTTTTCTAAATTGTGCATGTCACATTCAAAGTCTACTGGTGTTTGACATATCGTACATTCCGCAAGATTCCCATCTTGTCTCGCGTATTTAAGTGCCCAATGATAATCATAGTTTTCTATCTCGCGTGGATTATGATCTATGTGAGGTAGTGTGACATTTTTTTGACATATCATGCATTCTGTGTTTGGTTCTTCCGATTCAATGTCATTTGTGTACCTTACATAATTCCACTGTTCTAGGTACTTATTCTGTGGATATTTTTTATGTTCTTCAAGATGGTGAACTTCATAATGCACGTCGTTTACGTGGTTTTTAAATTGTGTTTCTTTGATATATACTACTTTGCGTTCGCAAAGTTTACATTCTGCTCGAAAATCACCAGCATCTGTATAATATTCTTGCAACCAGCTTTTTTTTTCAGTTTGCGATTTCCAAAATATTTCTTCTTCGTTTATTCTTTTCATCTCGTCTTTATGTGTATCAGAGATATGGCTTTTTAATTTCGCTTTGTTAAAATTAACGTTTATATTTTCTTCACAAATTATACATATCATATTATCTTCTTCTTGTCTTACGTATTTACGTGACCAATGTTGATATATATAGGATGGACCTTTTTTAATATGATATTTTGTGTGATTCTTTATTTGGTCATTTAGCACAGGTATTTTACATAAAATACATTCTATTTCTTCTGCTTCTTCGCTCGTAAACCTAAGATATAACCAGTTCTCGTCATGTGCTTTCTTTGTAGATTCTTCATTGTTCCAAATAAATGTATGTTTCTTTATGTGTAGCTGAAACGATTTATAGGAGACACATTCAAAGTTACGTTCGCAAAATCGACATTCTGTTCGCAAATTCACAGGCTTTGTATAACATTTATTAAAAAAGTACTGCTTTTCAGTATGATATTTTAAAGACTGTTTATCTCTGTTTATCTGTGACTTTATTTCTGGCAACTTTTTTCCATGCTTAGCCATGTGCTTTTGTAAAAATTGTGTTGTTAATTTTAATTTTATTTTTTTTGTTTCATTCACACAAAGCTTACATTTAGCAGAAAAATCTTCAAGTTGTTCCAGGTATTTCCAAACCCAATCTTCTTTCTGTTGGTGTGCAAGCTTTTTTTCTAGTTCCGAATGTTTTTTTATGTGTTTCGATAAGTTTTCATTTTGTGAAAATTTAATTGGGGTATCACTTATATCACATATAATACATGCTTCGTTTTTTTCTGTTGTTAGCCTAAAATAATTCCAGGCCTCGTTTTTTTTCTTATTCTCTTCATGCTGATAAAAATCTGGATGCTCTGTTTGTATGTGTTTCTTAAATTCAGGATCTTTGCAAACTGTAAACTGCACGTATCTATAGATGTGTTTGCAAGACGGATCTCGACACTGTGCTCGAAAATTTTTCTTTTTTGTATAACATTCCGCTATCATGGGGTGAACTCGTTTTTCCCAACACATTGTGATCTGATGTGTATGATAGAACGTATTTAACTGAACACGATGCGAGGATTATTTCGTTGAAAAGTGCCTGATAGAGGTGATCGAGGAAAGAGACGTACAGTTTTTCTGTTTGTATGTAAATACTGACAGCCTTCAAACCTACCTAACAGTTATCAAGACAAGCGGTAGGATCCGATGCGAAATATGTATTGTAAACGATTTCGGGAGAGCAAGAGCGCGCTCGCGTGTGATAGAGAGAGAGTGAGTTGGTCGAGAGGGAGGGAGAGGAAGCGAGAACTATGATATGGTGGAGAGAGAAAGAGGGGCAGAGAGAAGCATTACATCGTGTTCGTTACGCAGATAAATAATGTTTTCAGAAATAATGTACAAGAAATTAATGAAGATTATAGTTAATTTAATTAATACTATGATCTATATGGCTACACCGGTGAAATATGAGCATTTTTCTAATGTATTTAAATATACAACTTAGTATTGCAATTGAGATATTTTCTCATTGCAGAAATATATATACTTACATCCTTATTTCTTCATCTTATTAATATTTTAGATACACCACCATCGTTATCGTCATTTCTTTCATTTTCATAGCGCAATATACTTTAAATTATTGGTTTGATTTTCACATTCTAACATTCTGTTGCTAGTTACTTCATGACTACAGTTTCCAACGTCTTTGATTTAAACATTTCATTATTTATTTTATAATGGGCAAATATTTAATATTTCAAATTTGCTACAATTTACTTACTACAATTTACTACATTGTTTATGAGTAAAAAGCATTATTTCGTTTCAGTAACATAGAAAATATTTAGATAAATAAAAAAATCGGTGACAAATATAAATTTCTATAATCAAATACATTGAACGCAAAAATCGGCCGAAAAGTTTAATTAATTCCGATCACTGTTATAAAGTAAGAATAAATTGCTAGAATTTTTCTTATTCAACTTGATAATCAAACGTATTGTTGTTTTTTTTCACTTTTTTATTTTTTCCGAAATTGTTTGAACTTGTCGAGTTGAATTCTTTTAAGTTCTAAATTAAATTCGCTATTTTTACACCATTTTTTTGTTTCTGGCTAACTCTTTCTAGATTCTTCATAATATTCTTATCGGTTAAATGTATAGGGTGATATCTATGCTACCGTGACCGGGTGAGTCATCGGCTCTCTCTTTCTCTCTCTCTCTCTCTTGTGCCACCCTGCAATGCTTCGGCGCCGTGCTTCGTTTTCTGGGTAAAAGTCGGGGCCAGAAACAATGGGAAACGAGAGAGGCCGGTGTGCGCACGTGTGTGCAAGGTAGCCACGGCCGTGGCGGTCACGTTTCGCTTTCGCGTTATGTGCATCGTGTGGAGCACTGTGTGGAAAGCCAGCCAAATCCTTTGTATGCACCTCTCCCGAAGACATTCTACACCCTTCCGCTTTCCCTTTCTCCATGCTATACATGGAGAATGTTATCTATACCTTTGTGCGACCACCGATTGTGAAACCGATTCTCGTTAGATATCGAGAGATGCGCCCCTTTGACGATCAGTTGCGTCGATCTCGATGAGCAGACATAAAAACTGGTCATTGCTGACTTTGATGAGGAAATAAAAGATTCATGGCGCAAATCGAGGCACGAGTGGTTTAGAAATCAACTCTGATACTGCTTAGTTTTTATTCCGATCGATTGAAGAAAATATTTGTACATGTTAATATATGTTAATTTAATTTATTAATTTCAGTATTAATCTATTTATTTTTCTTTCTGACATAATAATTTTTATAGATGTACCATATTTTTTAAGAAGCGTATTTCTTATTTATGTTATTTTGCTGAAAAATTGAACTGTTAAAAGTAAGACTTGAAGAAATAAGACTTGCGAAAGAGGCGACGAGAGTACTTTGCGAAACCGGAAGATGATCGATGACGAGACATTGCTTGTGTGTTGCGCAGGTCGAGAACGTGAGCTTGTGCGTGGGAGCGTTGCGGGCCCTCGGGGCGGACGTGGGTGCCGTGAACCCGGGCGAATTGGCGGCAGGATCAACCCTGTGGCCGGTCCTGGCCTTACTCTTCGCCCTGTCGCGCTACAAGCAGCGAGCCAAACAACTGCAGGACATGCCCAGGTGAGTGAATCATTATTTTTTTTTTTTTTTTCGACAGTTCGAAAGTCGCTGATAACGATGCGATGGCGAATGCGTTTTGTTGCGGAAATCTATAAGTTGAAAAGTGGAGTTTAACACTCCGAGCTGTTCGAGATATCGAAATGAAAATTTCGAAATTTTAATTATTCAGCTTTGAATCGAAGCTTGAAAAACTTTGAAGCAAATTTTGAAGCTGCATTTAAGAGTATGAATTTTCACTGCAATTTCTTATAGACACGGATTTTTAATTCTGGAATTTAAACATTTTTATAGATTAGTTTTTAAAATTTTTAGAACTTTTAACATTTAACGCTGCGTGTGAAATTGTTTACAATTAATTTCCGTCTGTTGACAAATTCGTAACATTTATACGAAAGTCTATGTTATAATAGTAAGATTAATATTTTCTTGAATTTGAATAAAATCTCTTTTTCACAGTTTTATTTTCAGCTTTGCTTCTTGTATTCTAAAAGTTTTCAACTCTCTGCTATACCGATAACTGCAAATACGAACATCTTACCAACTCTTCAGCATGCTGAATGCTTCTGTAAAACCCAACGTCGGTAAATCGTGAATCACAAACCCACGGATACACACAGCAGATACCTAAAGATCTGGTGTAGCAACGTCGTATCTACGTTATAGCAATTGTTGGTATCTGCTTCTCGTGATTTGATAAATGATAGAGCTTTAGCAATAATCAAGATTTAATTATTTACAACGATACATAATTTTATCGACTTTGTTATTTATCACCGAACAAAATGCCGTTTATTCAGTACATTTTATTAACCTTTGGTACATCAGGATTTATCGAACTTAATTTTAGTTTTTGAATTTTTTTAATAATTGTAAAAATAATTCTAACTAAAGTTTGATATTTATTTTTGCTTTTGTAAATTATTCATAAAATAACTTAAAAACATGAAAAACTAAGAAGAGTCCATTGAATCGAGATGGTAAATGATGATTATTTATATGTATATCAGTTTACTGAGGCTTTGTGACTATCGATTCATAAAAATTAAAGTTCCTTGAATTAAGATGAACGTTGCTTGAATTTTTCAAATAATCAGTTTTTTATTAATCGATGAGAATACATCTCGTAAATGAGCGGAAACGTTTTAATGCAGGATGTTTAGAGAGAATGACAGATTTAAGAGGAAGCGAGAATAAAAGATGTGGTCAGATAAAATTGGTTAGATCAAATAGTGAATCGTCAAATAAAAGATTCACAATATCCTACAATGGGTTTTATTAATTTACAACAATTTCTGGTACTTTAATAATCGATGCTGATACTTGCCAAAGCATTTAGCAAACTTTTCGAAAATTAACTTTATTCTAAACAAATTTTATTCGTTTTTAACAAATAGGCATTTAAGTGGATATAGGAAGTGATTAATTTATTGGTTGAGTCTCGATGCCAAAATAAATAGAAATAAAATAAATTAGTAGCAACAGTCGGGAAATATATTTAACGTATTTAAAGACGAGCGGTGCTCCTTCAATTTTGCAAGATATTTATGTCCAAACGGATATGCAGTGTCTTATTTTAATTACTATTTACCGCTCCAATCGTTTGCAAAGTACATGGATATCGAACACACAAAAACATAATTTCCTCTCTCTTAATGCTCTTACAACATATTATACGCTACATAAAATTAAAATTAAAGGACTTGCATATATTAGTCACTAAATGTTTTAATTATTTATGTTTTAATTGCATTATGGATTGCGGTTCTTAATTAGTAATTATTGAATATATTAATACCTATAAATGTATAATCTGTATTTAAATGAAGCATGCGCAATCACACTTTTACATTATAAAACTAAAATTCTATTTGATTTGAAATTTTAATATTTGCATATTGAAAGATATATTTATTTATTTGTATATTGAAAATATTCTTCTGTATTTTTTTTGCGAACAGGATTTATTTCTCTATTTCGATAATATTTTTTAATTAAATTCTTTATATTTTATTTTTATCAAAAATTATTTTTCTGAAAAAGTTTTTATTAATATGATTTGATACGGGCTTCATTCAGCGTGGTGTTTGCATCTTGTAGCGACTCGAGATTCATGTTGAGAGCTTTGTTTCCTGTCGCGCGGTCGAATCGATACCGGCGAAACCGACGTTCTGCCGGCGGAACGACGGCCGAGCAGCGGCGCTCATTAACGTCTGCGTTAATCAACCAACATACCTCTCTTGTTTCTCTCTTTGTCTCTTTCTCGCCTACTTCCTCGCATTATCGACATCGAGTAAAGCATACAGTTACATCAATGTTTTGGAACGCAGAAAACGCGTACCAAGCGACCGAGAACGAGACAACTTCAAATATTTTAATTACGTCGGTGTTAATTACAGCAATCGAGAGGAAGGAAACGCGAAAGAGAAGGAGAGATTGCATCGTTGAATATTTTTTCGAATTGAAACTAATTTTCAGCGGGGATAAAATACGTGGTCAAATTAGAATATCGAGTAAACAAGTTTTTCTTCTTGTACAAAATAAAGTCCGAAATAAATTTAATAATAAAATAAAAGTTGGTGAAATTAAAATCTCTAGTAAATAAAAAGTAGTCGCTCGTAGCAATTCGGATAAAAAGATGAATATATCTCTTAAAGGCTGCACTAAGAATGATTTACTACGCATTTTGATTAATCGCCGTGCACGGTACATGTTTAGTAAGTGCGTGCAGGGATGCTGCACGTGGCGAACGTCTCAACTGTCAAGGTCGATATTTTTAAACCGTTACTGCGCACCCCTCAACTAGATGACGAATTGTTTCGATGAAAAAACGTTCCGAAATTACAACGAGATTCGGGCGAGATATTTTCCACTCCGCGTCTGACATTTATCCGAATTCAGGAGGCTAAAAGTTATTCTCG